AGTGATCCCTCTCTTCACTGCAGAAGGGTGACAGAGCAGGTGACAAGAGCAGCCCAAGTGACAGCAGCACAGCAGCAACCCCAGCCCCACCTCACCCAGCAGCAAGGTCCCAAAATGTGCAATGTTTAGGCAGCAAAGCCCCAGGAAGCTGCTGTGATTCCAGCAGCCCAGGAGAGACCAGCCAATCCTCATGTCTGCACCCCAAACCCTGCTGAGGGGGTGCAACTCAGTGACCTGTGTGAGTTTTGGAGGTTTTTTCAGTGACCTATGCAGGTTTTAACTCCAGCCTTAAGTGTGACATTTGAAATCCACCAGGAGGGAGTAAAAGAAGAAAATATTTATGAGTTTTCTTTTCCTTTGATGTCTAACTTTGACTTAATAGGAAAATTGGCAGGCATTTTGTTGTTATTATTCCCTACCAATACTCTATTTTAAAGAAGGTAAAAAGAGATAACTGTGAAAGGCAATAACCAATAACTGCTCTTCAGTAAGGTTTTACTTCTGCAGCTCCAGATTGCATCTTCATAATGACCTAGATTGATTTTGGAGTTCAGATGAACATGCTGACAGCCTGACCAGCAAAGAACACGAGAAAGACCCCAGCAGGTAACACAGGGCAGAGGAACAGGCTGAAATGTCAGGCTGTTCATCACAAATAGGAACTGAAAGTGAGTAAAACTCCTCCAGCACAGTGAATCATCCCAGAGTCACACAGCAACCTGGGCTGCAAGGACCTCAAAGCCCATCCAGTGCCACACTGGGACACATCCCCCTGTCCCAGCCCTGTCCAGCCTGGCCTTGGGCACTTCAGGGATCCAGGGGCAGCCCCAGCTGCTCTGGGCACCTGTGCCAGGGCATCCTGACCCTCCAGGGAACGATTACAGGAACAGTCAGAAAAACAACCAGGCAAAGCATTTGATGGAGACACTTTACAAAAGTGAGAGGCAGCTTGTGAGCACAGCACCAGCCAGGGGGCTAAAGAGCCCCACCTGAATTCTCAGATACAGCCAAGCTGAAGAATTGCCTTTTCCTGAGTACATTTTAAAGATGACTAACATGGAGCAATCTCTGTGGAACTGAGGATTTACACTCATGTTGTGATGCATTTGCCTAACAACAGCTCATGCTTCCACACTGGGGTGCAGGGACAAAGAACTCTGATGAAAATTTCTCACTTCTCCTGAGGCCAGTGTGTTTTCCTTCTTTCAGCTCACAAAGAAAACCATGAAAAATAAAAATGACATTCCAGAGTGTTCCTACAGGCAAACCAGAACCTTTTGCTCCCCCCATCACATTTAACCCTATTAGCAGTAAGATGAGAAGGAAAGTCTTGAGGCAATAAAACAAACCCCAATTCAGAGTACCCTGTGTGCTCAGTGATTCACTGAGCTGAGTGTTCTGAGGGGACTCACTGTGCAGCAATCCACTTCCAGGTGAGCTCATCTACTGCACTAAAAAAAACATCTCCAAGCTGCTAAAACAATACAAGAGTTGGAGATTACCAAGTGCTGAAGGATGAAGTTCAAGAGAAGCATTTACAGATATCAGAAGAGTTGCTGTGTTTATTTTATGGTACTATTCTGCAATAAAAAAATGCAATGCCTGGCTAATTATGATTGAGTTGGGGATAGCATGGCTGGGCACTGTGTTTGCATCAAAGAAAAGCATAAACCATATTTTGTGCTTTTCATATGGAACATTGGAAGCACCAATGTACCTGAGGCTGCCACAGGGACAAGTGACAGCAGCAGCAAGGACAAGCCAGCTCTGCATCCTTCACCTCAAGGTCATGGCACAGGATTTGCTGCTCCAGCCCTAGTGAGCACTCTGACCCTCCCTGCCATCAGCAGCCTCCAGCCAAAGGCACAGCATTCCCTGGTGCAGAACTGCAGGGATCTGCAAGGGCTTCCATGAATAAAATCCTCTGAGCACAACTTTCAAGGGAAAACATCCTCAACCTTCAGCTGTGGCTCATCCTTCCTTCAGTGCCTCTGAACCCAGCAGGTCCCATTCTGTGTCTCCAGGAATCAGTCACAGGACTTTGATGTATTTTGGGAAGATTCTCCTGGAGGAAGAGGCCAGGAAGAGCTGCTCACACTCCCCTGAGTGCAGAGCAGAGGAGTGCAGGAGATGAGTCAGGAGCCCCCAGCACTGCCACTGTGGGTGGGGAAGGAGCTCTGCCTCTCAGACCAGCCTGGCAGTGACCTGAGCTGCTGCTTCCTTAGGACAGGGGGGTGTTCTGAGGATGCTGTGCACAAATCCCACACCATGAAGGGCCCAGGCAGGAGGATCACTGTCCCACAGTGACCTACAAAACTCCAAGTGTGCTCACCTCCCATCAACATGTAGATTGAGGAAGGTTCCCCGGCTGCTCCCATTATTTTTTGCTCAGTTACAGCTTTCTTGCTCTTTTTTCTTAATTAAAAATAGCATCTCTGACCCACTTTTTGACAGACTTTAGCAGGGCTTGCATCCCACCATCTGCTCTCACAGTTCCTTGCATAACTGGTACATGGAAATGGATCCTTCCTTCCTCCTTTCCCTTCTCCTCCTCCTCCTCCCTGCACTCCATCATTATTTGGGTAAAGCTGCTCCATTGTTCCTGCCAAAATTGGTGCCCTACTGCCTCCCTCAGCTTGGGAAAGGAACTAAAAAAGGGCAAACAAATAATTCAATTATCAATCTTGTTGATTAACAAGGGGGAAAACCCGTTTCACGCAATAAATTCTGAGGTCATGTTTATTTTGGAGGGGAAAATGCCCAAATTTCCTAGTACCTCTACAGCTGGAGAGAAAAAACCTGAATTAAATTAAACAATTAAATGCCAAACATGGGGACATTTTTGAATGTACTTTTCCAGGTTTTGTGGTAATGCATCACCAGGATAATGTCACTACATGGGGGCAGCATCAAAGCCATGTGTGATATGGGACACAAACTGCTCTCCAAGAAAGCATAAAAGAGAAACTTTGCACTTAATTACTTGGCTAATTAAGCCAGGCTAATTAGTTGGCTTAATTTAATAGCCTGTGTATAAAATTTAAGTCAAGTTTACATGTCCTTCCAAAAGAAACAATTACAGGCTCTGCTGAAGTTACCCAACTCACCAGCAGGAGTTCTGAGGACAGATTTGTCTGGCCTAATCCCAGTGTCTTTATTTTTCAGATCAATCCATTTTCCCATGGCATCAATCCATTTTCCTATGGCAGCTCTTTCCACAGCTGCAGGATCCACTGCTTCAAACTCCTCCTCTGCAAAGAAAAAAGGCAACTTTGAACACACATTGTGAGGAAAGCAAAGTGGGAGGCAAATAATCCTCCACTTGAATGTGCCAGTTCTCCCTGCTAGGGAGGAGAAACCCTGAGCCACAGCAAAACACAGATGAGGCCACAGATTTCAGCTTCTGCTTTATCCCTCTTCTGCTGTAGCTTTAAGGTTCTACCCAGCCCTCTTCAGTATTTCAAATCATGGAACTATCCCATGGAAAAATTGTTTTATGGCCCAGCTACTTTTCATACATGGTAAAAAGTAGCTTGGAGAATTGTTTTTTAAGATGCCAACAGAATTTCAGCATCACAAGATTACTGAGGAAGGATTTCCATGGCCAAGTCCTTCCCATGGAGCTGTCTGAAGCATGGATCTGGTGGGCACCTTGCACAGCAAGGACACTTGTTTTCACATGTTTATTTTTACTGATTCAAGTCCCCCCTGCACTGACTGAGGCTGTGGAAGGCAGGCCTCAAGCAGGGAGAGCTCTGCATACCTGCAGCACTTTGCCCTGCCAGTGATGCTGAGCTTTCCAAAGCCTCTGACACAGCTGCCCCCTCCAAATCCTCTGTGGAACACCAGGATCCAGGTGCTTCACTCTCCTCCTCCTCGCTGAAGGACTCAAAGGTGTCTCCTGAATAGTCCAAGGCAGAGCTGCTGTGACCCTGGCTCAACCCCAGCCCCTTCCCATGGCTCCTGGAGCTCTCTGCTGGGGCAGCTGCCATGGGACAGCACTGCAAACAAAACCAAAAACAAAATCAGGTTCAAAGGATTGCTCACAGCAACATGGGAGGAACACTGGGATGCTACAGGCACATCCCACCAGATTTAACCACCACAACAGGTGGGTAAAATCACAACTCAGTCGTGATCAAGCCAAAGAAGGGATTAGAGCAGCACATGTTCAGATCCACAGGGTAAATGTACAGAACCAACTACCACTGAACATGAGCTGTGAAATCTGAGCACTGTTCTTTTCAAATCTGTAGTGGATTGAAGTAATGCTTGGATAAAATTCTTCATTAAAAAAAATTCTAATTTCCCCCTTTCTAGTGTCTAAAAGGAACTTACAGGAAAGAAAAGGTAGGACTATTTACAGGTAGGGAAGCCTGTTTAACAGCAGGTAGTGTCAAAACAAGGGGGAATGAGCTGAAATGGAAAGAGAGTATGGTTAGATGAGATAGTGGGAAAAAACCTTCCACCATCCCAGGCTGCTCCCAGCCCCAGTGTCCAGCCTGGCCTTGGGCACTGCCAGGGATCCAGGGGCAGCCCCAGCTGCTCTGGGCACCCTGTGCCTGCCCACCCTGCCAGGGAACAATTCCCAATCCCCAATATCCCATCCATCCCTGCCCTCTGGCACTGGGAGCCATTCCCTGGGTCCTGTCCCTCCATCCCTTGTCCCCAGTCCCTCTCTGGAGCCCCTTTAGGCCCTGGCAGGGCTCTGAGCTCTCCCTGGAGCCTTCTCTGCAGCACTCCCAGCTCTCCCAGCCCGGCTCCAGCCCTGGAGCGGCTCCGCAGCTCCCCCGGCCAGGGCCGTGCCCGCCCCTCACGGGCTCCGGGAGCTGCTCTGCCCTTCCCTCGCTGCTCTCAGCCCTCAGGGACGGGCTCTAAGAGCGACTTTTCCCCCCTCTGGCCCTCAGAACCTCGCTCCTTACCCCGGCCCGGCTCCCCCGGGAGGGAAGGGGCGGCCCCGGGCGCTGAGGGCGGAGCGGGGCGGGGAGCGGAGCCCGGGCCGGCCGCGGCTGAGGCGGAAAATCCGGCCCTGAAATCCTGCCGGGTTTGTGGGGTCGGTGTTGGATGGTGCCGGGTTTGTGGGGTCCGTGTTGAATGGTGCCGGGTTTGTGGGGTCCGTGTTGAATGGTGCCGGGTTTGTGGGGCTGGGGTTGTGCTGCACGTCCCGTCCCGGCTGAGCCCCACAGCGAGTCTGGGTCTGGAGAGAGCTCTGAGGAGCTGGAGCGAGTGCGAAGGGTGAGGGAGCGGGGCTGGGGGAGCTGAGCTGGGTGTGTTTGATCCCCCCCGGGTGTGTTTGATCCCCCCTGGCTGTGTTTGATCCCCCCTGGCTGTGTTTGATCCCCCCGGCTGTGTTTATTCCCCCCCGGCTGTGTTTGATCCCCACAGGATCCCACATTGCACAAACACCGAGAAAGGGCTGCCCGGAGCTGTGACAGAAAAGCCCCGCACGGTCAGCTCCAGCTCTGCCACAAGAACACAAAAGCCAAGAGAAACACTAGGGGATTTTTTAAATTACTTTTTTTACCTTTAGGACAGTGTATTACACCCAAGAAGATGAAGGCAGATGGCCTTGGATGTGACACTTCATGGAAATAAGATGCAAAAAGTATTCCAGGGCATGAAATCTTTCGGTATTTTCAGGTACAATTGCCATAGGTTATATCATGATAAAAGCAACTCTTCTCTATTCTGGGATCTTGCTTTAAAATTGCTATTTCAGGTTAGCTAATACCACTTCCTGTTTTGGTTTTTTTTGAGGTGGTTTTATTTGGTTTTTGGTTGATGGTTTGTTTTTGGTTTTTTTGTGTTGGGTTTTTTTTTTTTTTTAATTGGGATTTTTTGGGGTTTTTTTTGGTTCTTCTTGTTGTTTGGTTTTTGGTTTTTTTCACTGAAGTCTTTTTTGGCAAGAAAACCTGATTCTCCAGTCCTGGGGTGCAGTGTTATCTGTCACTGGGGTCTCGTCCTCATGCTGAGTTTGGACTGCCTGGCCAAAGGACAAGAGATTTTTGTCTTCTCTCACATTTGAAGTGCAGCAGAAGTGATCTTGTGTCTCTTGGAACAGAGAACTCTGTGCTGATCTCTACGTTTCATATAAAGAAGGATTGGGCAGCATGAGATGGATGCAGGAGAGTAATAAATGCATTGATGCAGTGGTGGAATCAACAGCTCTGCCTGCCCATTGTTCAAGTTGTAACATTCACTTGTTTGCTGAGTGAGCTGCTTGGGGCTGGCCCTTTTCTTGTAGTTTGCTGCAAGAAATTAAAATACTTTATGTGGGATAAACACTTCTTGTACCCTTTGTGCCCATCCAAACCAGAGCAGTGATCAGAGGGGTGTGTGAGTGGAAGGGCAGTGCAGGAGCCAGCTCAATGCCAGCAGCTCGTGGAGGCAGGAACCTGGAATTCTGGGATTATGGAATTCTGGACCAGCCAGACCTGCCTTGTGTCCTAAACCTGTCCAGCCCAGAGGTTCACCTTGCACTGGCTGCTCTGAGGTGTTTCCCTTCTCAGGAAGATAATGTGGCAGCCAGGCTGAGAGAGGTCAGGATCTGGAAGGATCTAGAAAATAAAGTGAGAGATTTCATGCCCTGGGTTAAAAACCACAGGGAAACAGGGCTGGGAGAAACATTTCCTTTTCTTTAAAAAACTAATCAACATGCACAGAGAATAACACAGGATAACTGAGAATAACCCAGATCCCCACAGCTCCCACTAAATGCTTTGATTATTTATCATTGCCCATTTTTTATGGAAACAGTTGACATTAGATTATTAGTGACCTGGGTGGTATTTGATTTTTTCCCCCTGGAGGTTAAAGACTTTGTAGTTTCCTGTTCTAGGTCCTTTTTAAAATTCATTTTAGAGCATGAAAAATATATTGTTCCGTCAAGTTTATTTCTCTGACATTTATTCAGTGCAGAGTGTGATCCTAATATTAAAGGTTTTTGATTTGAAGCCCAGGATACAGACAAGGCTTTTCAGTGGTCTTCCCTAAAACAGGACATTTCAGCACTGCCTGGGAAGTTATGATGTTGGAACAGCATAATTATTTGAAGGAGTATTTGTTTTTCAAGGATTTGTGGGTGATATTAGATGGCTCAGCCCAGTTGTGTCACAAGGTATTAAGGTTTCTGCCTGCTGAAGGCATGGAGCTGGGCCTATATAGAGCCATAAATAAAATTGTGGGGGAGCCAGTGACAGACTTTGACTCCAGCTCAACTCTTTATTACTTGTTATATTAAATTTAAACACAATTGTTGAATTCCTTGCTCTGGGCAAATGCTTTTTGATGTCTCCTTCTATTAAAGTTGTACTATCCCTTTTAGCCTGTGAAACTCACTCTTGCCAGGTGTGTTTCTCCAATAATTAATGATGCCAGCAGAATGAATTGGGCTGTCAGCACGAGGTTGGGTATCCAGTTGGGAATGATGGGGTGAGGCCAGTGGAATTAAGCACATTTGGATTGTGGGGAAAGTTCCTGGGGCTCAATAATGAGATGCTCATGGGCATTACTCTGTAGGAAAGGGCAGTTTCAAGCTGGAACATTTTTTTTTAACTCTGGAAATATGAAGGACAAATGCAAGAACTCTTAGGAAATTTGCAAGCATTTGTTGACAATTTAAGATACAGTCAAGGTTCTCCTCTTTATCAGCACAGAAAGTACTGCCAAGGAGCCCCCAGACACCATAAATCATCCAGGAGAGTGCAGAGGCTGAGAAGATGACAAAGGGAAGGCTCTGGGGCAGGCAGCAGGCTGAGAAGTCATTGTTTAGGGGCTGCTGTATTTCAAGTGGTCATTTCAGCTGCCATTAACTCCCATCCCTAATTAGCAAATGGATTGATCTTTGCTGGAGACTGGCAGGTGTCCCTGGCAGATCAGAGCTCTGCATACCAATGAGATGGTGAACGTGGCAGCTGAGTTCCAGACAGGGGAAAAAAAGAAAATCCATATTGTAGGCAGCTGTTGTTAATTATGCTTTGGGGTTGGTGTTGGAAATGACACTCCAGTCAGCAAGGCCATCCCTGCCCTCCTGGTTTTCCTTGTGCTTTTAGCTGGAGAAATATCCTTCCTCCCCCTGTCCTAAGGGGGTGGGAAACAGCAAATTTCATCTTCCTCCTTTGTGCCTGCAAACTGCAGATTTCCTCCTGAGTCCTCCCTTCTTACGGAATTTCACTAACCCAGTGGGAAAACATCTGAAAATGCAATAAAGTTCCATGAGGCAGCATTATCAAATCTCCATTCACAGGGATGGATATCCATGTGTATAGAAACATCCAGCTCCTCACTGGACACTGAATTTCTAATTCCCATCTTCCCCAACAGCCTCACATCTTTTGTGTGTGAATAACTCAGTGCTGCTTCACACCAGCAGCCTGGAAAAGCCCAGGTCCTGCTGCTGCCAGGGACACCCAGAGGGGTTGGTTTCTAGCTCAGTTTGGTTGTTTGTCTGCAGGTTTGCATCAGTTCTTTTTCCAGAATTATTGTACAGAGTTATTGGAGGGGATTTAAATAGCTGGATGTTGGAGAGCAGTGGTTTTTCCTTGCTTTTCCAAGGACTGTTACAGCCTGAACATGACATGAATTCATGGGAAAGAGGAGAATCAGAAACCTGTCTAGTGAAGGCTGGAGATTCCTTCATTTTCTTCTCTCCTTTTATTATTTTTGCCTCATGATTTCCCTGTGGCCCATCCTGCTGAATTCCCAGTGCATTGCAGTGGGAAGAGCTTCCAAGGGGATCAGCAAAGGCATCCCCTGCTCCTGGCAGATCAATCCTGCACTTATTAATCAGTTTGCTTTGGTGATAGGTTGACTCTTTTGGGAATCTGTCAGGACTGCCTTCAAACCAATGAGTTACTTGGCCAGTTCAGCAAATGCTTTAATTTAGAAATTAGCAGCTTTTTATACTGTCTCTGTTTTAGCCTAAAACCACAGAATTTATTCATTCCAATTTCTTGAAGCACTGAAGTGCCCTACACCTGCTGTGGGTCCTATCAGCAAGGGATTTTCTGTTTTCCTTTCCAGTCCTTTGCTGGTGGAATATTATTTCTACTGGAGAACCTGGACTGATTTTGTAGTTCAGAGGACTTTTAGAATCTCTCCTGAGCTTAAGCTCATTTCTGAGCAGCCTCATGGTCCTGGAGGCAGGAACATCAATGTTGCTCTGAGCACTTCCCCTGTGGGAAGGAGGGGACTTGTTTTGAGTGATTATATTGTTTGGGAAAGAACTTCTCTCTTAATTTTCTGTGGTTGTTTGATAACTCAGAAAATAAACATTCATCTGAAGTTTGGCAACCGGTTTGTGCCACTTTTGTGTGTAGATATTTGAGGACTTCAGTGTCCTGCTCTGAGCCCCTATAATCTTAAATAGTGATTTTATTTGTGGACCAGGCAAATTCCCTGCTGCTTTCTGGAACATTCCTCAGGTCTCTGTGCTGAGTAATGCTGCAGCTACTGAGTAAACCTGTCCTTCCCTCTGGTTATAAACATAACAACTGTAAAACTGGTAACTCTCAACTCCCATTAATAGAATGACCCTCAGGTGTCAGTTCTGGTCCCAAATTATTTCAGGCTTTTAAGAGTTCCTATTAGACTTGGGAGCATGCAGATGCCTAAAATGGCCTTAAAACCCAATTAAGGGTACAAATGGGAAGAACAATTTGTACTGACTCATATAATTTTGAAGAACATTTAAAACACTGATTACTGTCCAAAGACAGGGAAAATAAGGGTGAGTGCTGGGAAATCAAAGGCATAAAGAGTAAATGGCTCCTGTAAGGTGGGAGTGGCAGCCTGGATTCTCATTGGGACACTTCTTGCTGTGACAGATGCATGTTATTCATTATTAACCTTTGTTAATTGCTTGTATCATTGGGAGTGAATCACCTTTCTCATCCTCAATATGGGACCCTCACAAGTCCTGTGCTTTCCCCCCAGGTTTCCTGAGCTCACTGGTGGGTATTTGTGAAATGCCTGTGCTCCATGTGAGAGGCTGAGGCACCAGAGCAGGAGAAGCTTGATGGGAGGAAGCTGGCAGGGAGCTTGGCAGGCAGGTCACACATGCCATGCCCAGGAGATTCCCAGGTGTGGGGATGAAGGGGGTTTCAGGGTGCACAGCCTCCCAAATGTTACAGATACATATTAAAATATTGGCTTTTTGCAAGTATTAAAATGGATTTTACATGTGTGGTGTTAAAGTAACTTTGTTATAAAGTTTTTATTTCTGTTGTTTATTAAGCTCAGTGAAATAGCTGATATAAGTATGCCTGTGTTAAAATGCTGCTTGGATGGGATCACATCCAATAAACACAGCATGAGGACCCTGCTACAGATATTCCAGTTATCAGCACCCAGTGTCTGAAGGTTTGTGGACCAAGGCCCAAAACCAGGAGATGATAAGAGTGGACTAAAACCACAAGCAAGGAATCTGCATGCCCTAAAAGGTGGAACTGAGGAGGAGCCATGCTAAACAATTCTTGGAACATGTAAACTTTGGGGAAAGAGTTTACCATGCATAATTGTTGATGAATATGTAACAGGCTGATGCAATAGAAATGGGATATAAAGGTGTTCCCAAACTAGCAGGTGTGCTCTTGGCTGATCCCATAATTACCTCTGCTCTGTGGTCCTTGTCTCCCATGGTCTTTTATTAAACTTTTGACATTTTCCCAGGACAGTGAACGTGTTTTTCACACAACCCTGTCAGAGGCAGCCCAGGTCTCCTTGTGGGAACCACAGAGATCCCTCCTGTGTGTCTGAGATGCTGGAGCCCAGCTGTGCTCCTGGTCCTTCCATCTGATCTCTCACTGATCTCTGTTGGGAGGGAATCAAGGCCAGGGTTTGTGTCTGAGACCTTCAGCTGAAGGCTCCTGCTCTGCTCAGGGCTGTGCAGGGGAGCAGAGGCTGATTCCCTCTGACTCCACCCTGAGCCAGATTTCCTGAGCTCTGCCTTCCTCTCTGAGAGCTGCCAGCCCACATCCACCAGTGCCACTGAGCCTTCCTGAGCTGTTTATTGAATTTCTAGAAGCATCAGAAAAGCACTAAAGCGACAGGCTCAGCTCAGCCCTGGTGTGTGCTCTGGAGTAAATCACCTGTGCCATGCCAGGAGATCAAGGCTCCAGCAGAAAAGGAACTTGATGATCTGATTCTAATTAGTTTCTTGATTTAATGGCAGTAATTTTACTTTCATGGTGGTTGCCATTGCCCCAGCTAGCAGGGATAATAGACTTGGTTTCCTCAAAGGCTCATTTCTGATGCAGCCTCTGTTGAATCTTAAGCAATAACAACCAGAAGCCCACAGTTACCTCAAAATTATGGGATTTCAGTGGTTAAAAATGTCATGTTCTCTCACCTGAGGAGTTGACTGGGAATTGCCAATATAAGAAAATGAACAGTCATAAAATTAAAATATAGCTTGAGTTGACTCCAATTCCTTCTAAGATGATCTTTTTGTTTCCTTGCTGATTTAAACACCTGCAAGTTAAAGTCCTCTTGAAACCAGAAATGGGCAAATAAAATTTTTAAGGAAATTAAACAGCATGGGATGGGATGTGTTTCCACCAGTAGAAAACCAGAATGACTCCACAGTAGATAATGAAAAACAAGGGAAACAAATGGACTGATCTTAATGACCTAATGGGTGAAATTTCATTAAAGTAACATTCAGTTTTGGTTCAGTTAACCAAACTGTAATTTTTGTCAAAAATTACACCTGAGCTGCAGAGCTATCAAAACTTGTAGCTTTAATTATTTTATTTTCCTTTTTAACTTGTAAAAATTTCACTCTCCACAGCTGGATTAGGATTGGATGAGGGATCCTCACTTTTCCCCCTCTGTGATTTGTACAATCCACTGATGGATTCAGCTGGGGAAAGCTGTCTGAAGGTTTTGCCTGGTTTGAGCTCCTTGCCAAGCTTTATTCCCTTCATGAAGGGTAATCCTACATCCCCTGCCTTTGTCCTGCATTAAATGGAATTTCCCATTATTATCTCTTGCACCTATTTACCTTTCTAAATTCTTCAAACCGAGGAGTGCTTACAGCTCTGAGGCCTTGAGCTCTCCAATTCCTCATCCACAGAACACCTGCTGACTCCTGTGATAACTCAAAAGCCTCTGCTGGATTGTTCCTGAATTTTGAAAAGCAAAATACAGTCACAGTCCTCTCCTAGTTATGAATAATAATAATCCAGACTCTGATCCACTGCACACTTATTTATGTGTAAAGGTGTAGCCATATGTGTAGTGCCTTGGGAGCAGTTTATTAAAGAAAAGCCAAATTGATTCTATGTTGCATTTTCTGTGATGTTCATTAAATGTTTGAAGTAAAATACTTGTAAAGAATGTATGAAGATGATTTTGAATGAAAATACATAAATGGAGAAAACACACACTGGAATGTGCTGATTGTTTTCATTAAAACTTGAAGTGTGAAGATGTATTTCTGTTCTGCCAGGGATTTGTGCTCAAATGTTCTGGAAGATTCACAGCTCCTGAACGTGTTCCCATCCTGCAGAGCCCCAGACACACAGGATTTGTGAAGAGCTCTTCTGTTTGCAGAGCTCTGTGACGAGCAGCCTGAGTGTCTCCAACAAGGGATTGCCCTGAAGGACAGGCCAGAGCACAACAAAGAGCAAATCCCAGGCAGAGCAGAGAGTGAAATACCAAAACCAGGGCTCAGCCCCCAGGGGGACAGAGCAGGATGGGTCAGTGAAGCTGTGGCACCATTAGCAGGGAACAGAAGCAGTTCTGGTGCTTCAATGCATTCTGCCCCAATAAGAAATAATCAAATCAAATCAAATTGCTTGTCCTTACAGCAGGGCCTGTCACTGTGGGCCCTGGCAGCAGCAGGGAGCATCACACACCAGGCTGCTGTCTGAAAACTCAGGAGTTTGATCTCAGCTGGGAGAATCACAGCAGCTGCAGGAGTTTTATTATAACCTAAAAGCCAGGCTGTTGTTTCAGCTTTATTCTCTCGCCTCCCCAAATAAAGGAAATCTTGACAAAATCTCCTTGTCTGGCTGGACCAGCTGAGGGCAGCTCCATGGGGTGGGTGCTGGCTGTGCCAGTCCTGTGGGGGCTCTGGGAGATGCTGCTGTTCACCAGGATTGCTTGGGGTGTCCCAGCCACAGAACCATCCTGGCTGGAAAAACCCTCCAGGCTCATCCCATCCACTGAAATTCCAGTCCTGTCCCACTGCTGCTCCAAGGCTGGCTCGTGGGGCATTGTGGTGGTGTGAGGGTGCCCAGGACAAGGTGAGAGATGAGAATTTGACTCCGTGTTCTCAGAAGGCTTTTATATTATTATTTATATCATATCATATCATATCATATCATATCATATCATATCAATCATATCATATATCATATATTATAACAATGTGTTCTAATAATATATGATATATAATTTATAATATATGATATATAATAATATATAATAATATATATAATATATTATATATAATTTATATTGTATTATATTATATTATATTATATTACATTACATTACATTACATTATATTACATTACATTACATTACATTACATTATATTATGCTATACTAAAACGATACTAAAGAAAGAGAAAGGCTACATTAGAGGGTTTAACAAGAATGAATAATAAAAACCCGTGACTGACGCAGAGTATCTGACACAGCTGGACTGTGATTGGTCATTAATTAAAAACAATTCACATGTTTGGATAAACAATCTCCAGACCACATTCCAGAGCAGCAAAACATGGAGAAGCTGAGGCTTCTCATCTTCCCAGGAGAAGAAATCCTGGTGAAGGGATTTTTCAGAAAATATCACAGTGACAGGGGCTGGCACAGCTGCTGCCAGCCTGGGCTGCTTTGGAGACAAAAGCAGAATTTCCTGGCTCTCCTCAGTGAACTCCAGCACCAATTCCACCTTTCCTTCTTGGTTCAAACCAGGTATTTTCGTCCCTGTGAACACTTCCTACTCTGTGTACACATGGAAATCATGCAAGAATTTAGATTCTTCATTTCTTTGAGTGCTGGGATCCTCTCCCAAAATGGCCTGGAAGCTTTCTCCTTGTGCAGTTCCAGCTGCTGCTTTGGAGGGGATGTCTCCATCTGGCTGGGTTTTCCTGCTTTCCCCTGGGCATTCCCAGCTTTGTTGAGTTTTCCACAGGCACAGCTGCTAGTGCTGGCATTTGGGATCTTTTCAGCCACATCTAAAACACTTTCCCCCTAATTCCTCCCTGGCCTAGGTCACCTTATCACTTCTGCTATCACACCCAGCCTCTTGTTGCAATGATGTATTCAGTGTTACTGAGTCAAAAAAAAACCATTTTAGTATCTTTCATTTAGAAAGGAAAATAAAATTATGGAGTCACAGCAAGTGTTGCTTGTGGACAGGGCTTCCAATGGCTTCAGGTGCCTCTTCATTATTCATTTTGCATGTTTATTACTGCAGACAAAGAATTACAGGTGTCTTGAGGGCCATCTGTGTTCAACTTCTGGGTACAAGACACTGTCCTAATGGCAAAAAAGTAATTTAAAAATTACCCACATGGCTTTTCTGTTCTTAAGGCAGAGCTGAGTTGGAGCATGTGATGTTTGAAACAGAAGTTATTGAAACACTCCCTGGCCAGCCCTTTCACCAATATTTTGGCAACAGTTTCTGATATTTAATCGAAGTCTTGTGTAACAGGCATGGCCTGGTGTGGGAGCCTGGCAGGGAAATCTTCAGGTGCTCCCATTTGGAATCTGCTTTGCTGTCCCTGACCCCAGGCAAGGACAGAGCTGCTGAGCTGGGCTGGACACTGGTCCCCAAGCCTGTGCAGGGTCAGTAAAATGTTCATTATTGTGGTTTGATCAGCCCAGGGGGACACTGAGGCAGAGCTGGTGGAGGAGCAGAGATGTCAGGCTGTCCTGGGCTAAAACAGGAGCTGATTTAGGAGCATAAGGAGATTAGTGTCCCGTGCAAGGTCAGGAATAGCAGCACATCCTCAGTGCCCTGGTTTGCACAGCTATGGATTGGGTGAGGAGATGAAAGCAATTTGCCCATTTGCCCATTCCAAGGAAAGTCAGTAACAAAATTTATTTCCACTGTTCCTCACTCTGTCCTCTGCTGACAGGACAGCTCTCCATCATTTATCATTTTTCCATGGGTAGAAATTCCATGTTTGAAAAGCAGAATGGGATCTGTCTTTTACAGCCTGCTAAAATAAACCCCCAGATCTAAACCAGCCCACGTTTTGTCAAATTCAAATTTTAATGCTGAGGCTTGAACCCACATTTCTTTATTAACTACAACACATTAACAACAGTTTAATTAGAAGCAGCCCTTCTAAAGCCAGTGCATTTCTGCTGTGAAGGAAATCAAGGATATCAGAGTGCTTCTAAAGCCTTCAGCATCTGCTTCCCACCAAGAGAGGTGAATTCTGTAGCATAAAACCCATTGCTGTGCTTGTCCCTGAGTTCATCTCTGCCTGTCTCCAGCTGGATGCTCAGAGCAGTTGCTGGGTAATTTACTCAGTCAAATGTGCATTTAAGGCTTCAATTGCTTCCTGGAGGTAGAGCCCCCTCATTCTGGATTTCACAGAAAAACAGTAGAGAACTGAAGATGTAAAATGGAGTGCTTAAAAATGGGCTTTGCAGTGCTGGTTAACTGTGTCCACATCTCTGCAATCCTTCAAACTTACAGAAACAGGGTGGAGTTAATGAATGTAATGATGTTTTCTGTCATCCTTCCCAAGAAACTTTGTCTTCCAGGAGCAGCTGAAGCACCAGCAATGCTGTGAG